CCATGTACTACTGTGACTGTAACATAACGGTTACAGCTGGTTTTAACATAGACAGAGTGCCATCACTGACACTGTGGGGGTGTGGATAATGGCTAACATAAATAATTTGTCAAAATTAATAAAGTTCTCAATTGATCTTTGTACATGACCTAAACCTAAAAAAAAACGAGATGAAAAATTTAATTTGTTTAAAATGGTTACTTCATAAAAAGCTGTATTATGCTTTAGAAACATGTAATGTATGTATAACACTGGAAAAAGGGTACACTGGGTGGGGGGAGGGGGGGGGGGCTTGATACAAGGTTAATAATTAGTTTGTTTTAAATCAAAAGCTGTACAGATTCATGTATAACATTGAATTTCACTGCTATAGGTCTTTGAGAAGACTTTGGTTTATATCATATAATTGGAGTGGATGTTACAGAAGACAAAGTAAAATTTCATAGTTACGTAAGTTTTAGTCAAAATACTATAACCGGTAATTTTATAAGTGCAGGGTAATATTTGATTGACAATGTAGTTTGAAAATTTAAGTATTAAGTAAGTGTATAATTTTACACTCTTCTACCAAACTGATTTAAGAATTATTGTAGTACATGTATCATATGTTTTGAAATTGTGAAATATGGAACGCCATAGCTGTCTTAAGGTATGATACATCATATTACATGGTGTGTTCTATATAATAAAGGGTTGAATCAATATATTAAATGGTCATCACTCCTTGTTAAAGGGTGAGGAGCACATAATACATGGTGCGTTCAGTATAATAAATGGTCGGTTTATTATGTTAAATGGTCATCACTCCTTGTTAAAGGGTGAAGGGCACATAATACATAGTGCGTTCTATATAATAAGGGGTCGGTTCAGTATGTTAAATGGTCACCACTACTTGTTATAGGGTGAAGGGCACATAATACATGGTGCGTTCTATATAATAAGGGGTCGGTTCAGTATGTTAAATGGTCACCACTACTTGTTAAAGGGTGAAGGGCACATAATACATGGTGCGTTCTATATAATAAGGGGTCGGTTCAGTATGTTAAATGGTCACCACTACTTGTTATAGGGTGAAGGGCACATAATACATGGTGCGTTCAATAAAATAAATGGTAGGTTTATTATGTTAAATGGTCATCACTCCTTGTTAAAGGGTTAAGAGCACATAATACATGGTGCGTTCAATATAATAAAGGGTCGGGTCATTATGTTTAATGGTCACCACTACTTATTATAGGGTGAAACGTAAATAATAAATGGTGTGTTCAATATAATAAAGGGTCGGTTTATTATGGTAAATGGTTACTGCCACTCGTCATAGAGTGAAACGTACATAATACATGGTGCATGCAATAAAATAAAGGGTCGGTTCGTTGTGTTAAATGGTCACCACTACTTATTATAGGGTAAAACGTACATAATACATGGTGCATTCAATATAATAAAGGGTCGGTTCATTGTGTTAAATGGTCACCACTACTTATTATAGGGTGAAACGTACATAATAATTGGTGCGTTCAATATAATAAAGGGTCGGTTCATTGTGTTAAATGGTCACCACTTCTTATTATAGGGTGAAAGTACATAATAAATGGCGTTTTCAATATAATAAAGGGTCGGTTTATTCTGTTAAATGGTCACCGCTACTTGTTATAGGGTGGAACAAAATAAATGGTTAGTATTGCATTACAAAAGATACGTCAAGTACATTACTTGGTGTGCAGCTAACAATATGATGGCTTAAATGGTGTCTTTGGAAAGTTTAAAATGCCACACTCTTCTTTTGATATTCTTATTTTAATTTTGTGTGTCAGTATGTGTGTGTGTGTAAGGGGGGGGGGGGGGTACCCAAACTTAAAGAATAAGGGGGGATACGCAAACTTGAAAAATCTAGTTTAGTAAGGGGGTTAGGTACGGTCTAGGTCAGATTATTTATTTTCGCCCAAGTGGGAGACAGATTGTTTATTTTCAACAATTTCATGGACAGATTATTTATTTCCAAAATCTTCCAGGCCTCCCCTACCTCAGAATCAGTCAAGTTTATCTGACACAATAAAATAAAATATCAATTAAGTATCGACGTAGGCCTGTGGTTCGAGGGGGAAGGGTGCACCGATTTGATATGAAAATTTTCATTCAAAGGCTGCTTGCCGCCCTCCCCCCCCCATATTTTTGTAGCAGCATGGTTGAAATGTGTCCCACTTTAATGCATTGATTTAAGAAAATGTCGAAAAGTTATAGAAAGATACTACAACCCCCCCCCCCCCCCCCCCAGTAGGTTTTTTTTAATTCTTGTCAATTTTTTTTATCCCCCGTTTAAAAATGTTGCTATGGGCCTATGTGGCAAATTAAAAGCGTTGTATACTGTATAGACACGACCCCTCCTCCAATTTCCACACATAATGCAAATGACAAAAAAAAGGGGGGGGGGGATAATTTTTACGAAAGGATTGAGAGAGGTGTGGTCTTTCTATAAACAATTTTTTTTAACATAGAAAAATGATATTTTTACAGAGGAGGAAATATTATGTAATAAGTGACTGTGATGTTCCTTAGAAGATTACACATTACGTACGGCAAAAAGAAGATGACACTAAACTCTCCCTCCCCTTCCATCAGCCCTTCTTTTTTATCAATCGTACTTGATAACGATATACATTTAAAGATACGTGACATTTGTGTACTAAAGGCAAGTACCAAAAACGAGTACTGGTTCACATCACATTTCTTATAGAATTAAACGGAAACACAGAAGAATATTATGGAAAGTAATTTATTATGTGTTGTTGGGGCTGGGAGATTCTAGATATAAATTATACTAGTATTCCCCCACTGCGAAGAAAAATAAATAAATGGACCTTGTTAGGTGGTACCACCCTGAAAATATAGAGTTTGGGTACCTCCCCGCAATAAAATAGAGGAAAATTAAATCTGACCCAGATCACCTTTAAAATAAATTATCCGTCCTATACCGACATAAAAATAAATAATCTGACACTGAAAAATTTGCCAACGCCCCCCTTTCAGAATGAAATGGCCGATTCCTAAAACGTTCCGGGAAATATAGTTTTACGGTACGTTTCTTTGATAGCTCGCATAAGACCTCAATGTATATTCAAATTTGGATAAGAGGTCGCAGCGCCCCCTTTCGTCCTAATTTGCTTAGAAAATTTGACCCGGATTACTCATTCTAACTTTCTTATTTTAACATTTTTACTATTACTTACTCTTAATTTCTAACTCCGCCTTTACACATTTTTTTTTTACTGAAATAAAGGAAGGTGTATATACTGAAATAAAATTTTGAAAGTTTCTTAAAGAATCAAGTGTCTTTGGAATATAATCTTTCAATTTCAGCCTCATAAAGTAAAAAATAAAAGCTGTACGGTTCTTTCGGTGACCAAGTAAATATTCAAATTTAGAAAGTCTGTAAAAAGGTCAAAATGAAATGAAAAATTGAATTGGAAAAACAAGATGTTAGAACTAAGATAATAAATAACTGAAATATTAAAATAAAATTGGAAAATCAATAAATTAAAGTAAGAATATTAAATGAGAACTGTGCCACGGAAATCTCTCCATAAACACCAGTTAATTAAATCAACATAGCTAACTTTTAATGTGTGTTTTTTGAAACCATGTGAAATTAGCTGCACACTGATTATATGTACTTAACGCATTTTTTAAAACGTGTTAATTTCTATTTATTATGTCCCTTTCACCCTATAACGAGTAGCGGTGACCTTTTAATACAGTAAACCGACCCTTTATTATACTGAACACATCATTTATGTACCTTTCACTCTATAACAAAGAGTGGTGACCATTTAACATACTAAACCGACCCGTTGTTATGTAGAATACACTATTTCTTATACACCCTTACAGCATGTAAAGGATGGTGATCATATAACATAATGAACCGACCCTTTATTATATTGAACGCACCATCTATTATGTACGTTTCACCCTATAACAGGTAGCGGTGACCATTTAACATAATGAATTGACCCTTTAGTATATTGAACGCACCATTTATTATGTACGTTTCACCCTTTAACAAGTAGCGGTGACCATTTAACATAATAAACCGACCCTTTATTATATTGAATGCACCAATTATTATGTACGTTTCACCCTATAATAAGTAGTGTTGACCATTTAACACAACGAACCGACCCTTTATTTTATTGAATGCACCATGTATTATGTACGTTTCACCCTATAATAAGTAGTGTTGACCATTTAACACAACGAACCGACCCTTTATTTTATTGAATGCACCATGTATTATGTACGTTTCACCCTATAATAAGTAGTGTTGACCATTTAACATAATGAACCGACCCTTTATTGAATTGAATGCACCATGTATTACGTACGTTTCACTCTATAACAAGTGGCGGTGACCATTTAACATGGTTAAATGATCCTTTATTATATTGAACGCACCATTTATACACCTTTCACACTATAACAAGGGGTGATGACCATTTAACATACTAAACTGACCCTTTATTATATTGAACACACCATATATAATGTATTTTTCACCGTACAACAAGTAGTGATGACCATTTAACATAATGAACCGACCATTTATTATATTGAATGCACCATGTATTATGTGCTCTTAACCCTTTAACAAGGAGTGGTGACCATTTAATTTACTGATTCAACCCTTTATTATATAGAACACACCATGTAATATTATGTACCATACCTTAAGACAGCTATGGCGTTCCATAGTGAAATATTGTAACTTATAACCTTATCATCAAATGTTTAAAATTTGTAATGGAGTACTAAAGGATTGCTCGTTGGAGTATATAAGTTGGGCATTAGACCCCGACCTCCATCTAATCCCTTTTTATCACAACACAGTATTGGCACACTCCCTTCTTTCATCATCAAACAGACTCCAATCATTATTTTGACATTTGCCTCATTTTTTACCCCTCTCTGCTATCTGACTGTACAGCTGAGTTTTGAATTACTGTTTGCCTCTGTGATACTGCTGCTGATCATGGGCATCTCAGAAGGGCCCCTCTAGAAGATAAGAGCACAAGCTACAGTAGAGGAGGCTGATGTAGAAATGGATTTCAAAACATCGTCTGCCACAAGCCCTAAAAGATGTTGTGAGTAGCTTGTTAAGCCGCCAAAAATAAACAGAGATGAGATGGGAGTTTTGACCATGGAGACTATATCTTTTGATTCTTCCACCACGGTTAATACCAATGTGAACACCACCAATGTGAATTCCACTGCCAGGAGATTTTTTGCCGCTAAGAGATCAGCTTCGCACCACTTGGACTTTCATGGAACCGATCTGCACATGTTGCAGCAGGCAGGATGGATGGGACGGATGCACCGAGGGCTTTACAGAGGGACACAGTTCAGTAGGTGTCAGCCATCTTTGATTTAAGCTCAAAATTGCCATTTGTTTTAGCCCTGTGTTCAAACTTGGTTTGGCCAAGAATTATTGCATATTTTCATCACTGCAGTTGTCAGATTGATAAAAAGAAAACTGGCTCATTTTGTATATGAAATGATAACAATTTCACATTCTTTTCATTCTTGGTTGGCGATTTCTTATTCATTTGTATACATGCATGTAGGTATATATGTTGATATTTATATAATAGACAGGCTGTTTCTTCACATTCCAGCATCGTCTTTGTTTATCAGAATTTTGTAAAGAGTTCAAGCTAATGCTGCCACTGAACATGCAATCTGTTCATCATTTAATGAAGAACCTTTGATCTTTTGCACATGTTCTTTGAAGTTGAGAATGGTTGATTAAAGTGCATGCTCTCTCTAAAGCTTCTAAATTTAGTTCCTGTTTTCTGAGTTTATCTCAATGAACACCGATGATTGAACAACATGATTGTCTATTTGCTGTAACGATTTCATGATCCTGCATCCTTTTCTTAACACATGCACACTGAAATTCAATGAAAACAACATGTCTTAAGAATGCCCAAATATAATGAGAATTTTGCTTCAAACTTCTGGATAATTTTGCACCAGGTCTGGACTGAACATTAATTGCTTCATACTAGAAAATCTGATGCTGCATAAAATACCAGCAGTTTACATGTTTAATTTTATCTAGAGGTAAATTTCAACAAATTTTTATGTACTCAGAATTCCTCTTTGGCAGATCAAGTTAGTGTGAATATGGAGGTAGGGGTAATGTTAGGATGTGGACCCAAGGGAGTCTCAAGAACAGGGGACCAAATTCAAGTTTTTGAATTTTTCAAGTAAAAAAATGGTATGCTTTGGAAATATTTACAATGTACATCTTTGTAGCAAGTTCTCGACAGACTCTAGATATTAAGAAGAGAAATATTATTGTATTTTATCTGTGTAGAGAATGATGGGTTTAAACAGATATAGTAGTAATTGTAAGAACATGTCTAATGTGTCAGCAAAGTCTGGGCTGGTATGAGTTATAGAGGACATTTAAAGCAAGGCCTCATCTGCAGGTTTAGAAGGTCAAATTTTGATGTATGATTGCTAATGGGGACTTTCAGGTAAATTGTTCTTATTACATATAATGCCTCTAACATGTGATACATGTTCAAGCATGTTTTACCAATAGGGTCTCATCTTCTACCTTTCGTGACTTCAAGTGAGGGGTCGCCCATGTGGTGCAGTGGTTAGAGCATTTGCTCTAGAGTCATGATGTAAGGAGTTGATCTTTACGTCGCTGGTTTGAATCCCACTGTGGGACATGGAGACCGGTCCTCAGATGAAACTATATAAACTGAGGTCCTGTGTCGCAGTAGGTGCTGGCATGAAAAAGATATCTCACGGCTCAATGGATCTGAGTGCCGAGTATACTGGGTAGGTCAAAATTTGCAGCTCTCCACTGGCAAGTGGTGGTGTCTCCATATGAGTGAAAAATTCTTGAGAGGGACATTAAACAATAAACAAACAAAATCAAGTGGGGGTGGGGGGGGGGTGTTAAGGATTGAGAGATTGTGAGGGAGCTGGGGAGAATTTGAAGGTAAAACCAATTTCACCCATTCACCCTCCCCATTGATCCTTCATTCTGTTGCACACACTCCCTCTTGTTGTCTCCTTTCCATATCACCGACATTCTCCCCATCTCCCTGAATCGTTAATCTAAAATTTTGGTCACGATTATTATGAATTCTTTGATTGAACTATGATGTTTCTTTCTATTCAACAGTGAAAAATTGACCATCTAAATCATGAATACAATTCAATACTAAGCCAAAAATTTGATGATTTTTTAAAATTGTTCAGAGATTTTTTGTCAAACACTCATATATTTGCATAAATATAAGCAATTGCAGTTAGTGTCCAACAGAGTAAAGTGACTACTTTTGAAGGAGAATTTTTACACATGTACAGTAAAACATAATGAAAACTAACAAAGTAAATGCAAACCAACAAAATATTACAAGTAGTAAAATACTCTCAGTTGACTACCAAAGCTAGGTCACTGAACTTGATGTAAGCTTTTAAAACAAGATTGTAAATTGCAGAGGCAGAATTTGATAGAAGTCTCTCCTCTTTGTACAAGTTCTTTTTATCTAAGCAAGCAACATAAGGTTTTAAGCAATAAACTTGTACATAACATGGTGTTCATAGCCCCTGACTGCTTGTTTTTTATCAAGATTCTGTGGTCTGGTACCATTTTCCCAGCTCTTCCTATCACATTTACACATGTAAATGATCTGGAGGTATTTTTCTGACAATTTTTTTAAGTACCAATAATGACTACTGTTTTTTTTTTTTTTTGCCAGGAACATTGAGTCTTTCTTTCCTTACATCGTCTTTTTAAGCCACTTGGCATGACTGCAGTATGTTGTTATTTTTATACATGTAGTGCTGCAACTTTTTTTGACAAGTTGTACAAATTGATCAGGTTATGCAGTAGGTAAACAAAATCCACATTGAAATGTGTTGTTTTTGGCAGATAATGAACTCCATGTGTTTTTCAGGGATTTATTAATTGTACTGGTTTTAATGTTATGATGAAGATGCCGGCTTATTGTGCCTGGCACTTTGTCCTTACAGTAAAAGGGAACAGAATATGATAATGTCCCATTGATATTTTTTACAGAAAGAGAAATGTAGACTTTTTGGATCTCTTCCTGCTGTGCATAATGTCACAGAGAATTCTTGTTAGATTCCTTCAGAATGCAACCAATTTTTCTCTTAGTGCAGAAGATGAATAGAATGGGTCAATTAAGCAGGCAGACACATTGATGTATTTGCAGCAATATTATTACACAAAAGGAGAAGGCACTTTGGAGTTGGAGGATTACTTGTAATACATAATAACATTTGCAAGAATATAGTAACTTCTTGATAAAGGATTTATATTTTCTGGTTGTCCAGACATGACCTTTGTACATGTATTATTGCTTTCCCCATTTTTCCAGATGGGTTGCATTTGTTGATAAAAGTGAGACTCTGTCATTTAGTGTTGGTACAAATCTCTGTGTTATCTTTTTTTTCATGTTATTACACAGTGTGCAGCCTGAATATTCTGTTAGGGTATATCAGATTGTCTGTTATTGCACATCTGTTGGTTAGATCTGAGAGTTACTACCAGGAGTGCAGACAATCTTAACATAATGTTTTCCTCTCGGTTTCCCCTCCCCACCCCTATGGCTTGTTGATAAGTCTAACTGTTGCACCTGCTTCTTGGTCTAATTGTTTTGACTGATTTGCAACAATATCTGTGCTAATTAGGTTTAGCTGCAAACGAAAAGTTCAAATTTTATCTATCAAGGCTTTAATGTTATTTAGTGGGAGATTTCAAAAAGAGCTAAAGGTTTTTTTCAGATTTTTTTGGCAATATAATGTTAAAATATTCATTGAATTCCAAGGAAGAAAATTGCAGAAAGACGCAAAGAGATTATCATCACTTTGGCATATACTGGTATCTGTTTGTTACATTTTCAACAGTGAAGTACTGTAATTTATTTATTGAATATAAGTGATATTTTGTCACAGTGTGAAAGAATATCAAAGTGATATTCTGTCACAGTGTGATAGAATATCAGAAGTGTTGCAAAACTAGAGATTTCTCTTCCCTTGAAGAAGAGTGTTGTAAAAAATACTCCCTGGCCTGTTATAAGCTATGGTAAATAGACCATTCTGACAGAGATTAAAAGTGTAAAAGTTTCTCAAAATATGCTGTTGAAATCTATGTTTACAAAAAAAATGCTGTCCCCACTCATTAAATGAATTCCATATATCTAACTTCAAAACAATGAATATCCTCCATAAATTCCAAAGTAGCAATATTCAAACATCACCTGCATATGGTGTTTATGTCTCCAAACTGATTTGATACACAAGAGCATGTTTTCAATATGGTCAATTTTTAAATTGAGGCAAGCTACTAACAAATAAGTTGATGTTACAAGGATTTCAACAACTCTGTTTAAATCAGCTTTTTGCTAATTCTAAGGTAGTTATAATAATGCCATTTTTGTTTATTTTGTCTGACATGTTTCATACCATTTGTTAGGTCATTGCTTTTTAGTCCCCTACCAGTGAAACCAGAGGGGATTATAGGTTTCCTCTGAGTCTATCCGTCCTTCTGTCTGTGTAGCTGTCTGTCCCTCTGTCTAGTTGTCCCACTTGGTTTTCCACACTTTTTTCCTAAACGCTTGCAGATATTGAGCTGATTTTTGGTATTTGAGTGTATCTTGATGAGTTACAGATCAAGTTTGCATTTCGTTTGGCTTCATTGATTTTTGACGGAATTGTGACCTTTTCAATTTTTAAGGGTTTTCCACAATTTTCTTCTCAACGCTTTCAGATATTGAGCTGATTTTTGGTGGTATGTGACTTTACCTTGATTAGTTATAGATCAAGTTTGCATTTCGTTCCACTTCATTGATTTTTGACGGAATCATGACATTTTCAATTCTTAGCGGGAACCAGATTACACTTGCTGGTAGGGGACTAGTATTGCTAATCAGAATGCTTGTTACACTTAATTTGACTATACAGAGTACTCTGTCTACCTGATCAATACTTGGGACTCACGGTGGTGTGATTGGTTGACGGGGGATGCTTACTCCTTTAAGGCACCTGATCCCACCTCTAGTGTTTCCAGGGGTTGGTGTTTTTGCCAAGCCTTTCAAAATCTGCTGGTACCTGGTACTTTTACCTGGCTAAAATCATGATTGTACCAGCCAAAATATTTGATGGAGAAAAATTATTATTTAATTAAAATTGCTTTCACAGGGTACCTCCTATTTTTGTAAAAGTACTGCCTGTTTCTAATCTTATTGAAAACCCTGTTTTGTCCTGTTCACAATTTGTTTTGTTTACATGGTTTATGAGATTGATCACTGTTCATTTTCTTAACCTTTTACATTAATTGTCCTACTTTGACACTTGTAAGATTACCACAGAGTTTTAGAAGGGAGACATCACAAATTATCAGGTCTCAGTACTGTCATCACCCGAGGGCGCTTGTGCCAGACAGTCCATAATAGTTTTATTATCTTGAAGAATCTAAATTTAATAAAATAGAGTAGAAAATTTCAGTCAAACATCTTGTGTTTTCCTACCCACTGCTCTGATTCTATACTTTCAAAATATGTCAACAGACTACTTTGACATCTCCATTATAATTTATTGATTACCGATCCCACATTAATAGCTTATATCAAATATATATATGAATTATCTCACTTAAAATGTTTCATTTTCATCCAAAAGAAGACAACACAGTTGTCTCCCTGCATGTTCACTTGGGTTATTTCATTGTCATCTGAAGGGAGACAACAAACTTGTCACCCTGCACATGAGGGAGACCTCAAGAATGATCTCCCTGCATGTGACATGCTCTTAACCAATAAGATTGACTGAATTATTCTGAAGGATGATAATATATATTTTTTTTTTGGTCAAGGAAGGGAGCAGTGGGTGGCCACTAGGGTGGTAGACAGATAAGGTGTTGGGTCAGATTCCCCCCCCCCCCCCCCCCCCCCCCCCCCCCGACCAGGATTAGATTTATCCTATCTTAACATCAGCCTCCAATAGCCCTCCATAGTAGTGTCCAAAGTATCTTATCTTCATCACCAGGAAACTGGCAGCTGATATGATTAAATGAGGAAATGTCAGTTTTGTTTTGTTAGAGATGATATAATACACAGACATGTTCATATTTTGAATATATGTATATATATATATATATATATATATATATATATATATATATATATATATATATATATATATATATATGTACTCTAATTCTGAGAGATGAGTTAACATTACCACTAGCCAAGACAGTTAACATTAGGAATTAACAGAAAAAAAGCAAAATTTTGATTGGTGTCGGAGTGAATGCCTTTAGTTAGATTGATTCCTAGTCTGTTAGATTAAAGAAATTTGTTGATTTTCATCAGTGTAACTAGAATTCCCGATAAGCTGAATTCTTGTAGCTTGCTTACATTCCTAAGGGAAGGAAACTGATAATTCTTTCACAAAAGTAAAATACTGTGTAGAAAAGATAACTGACGTTCTCATGACATCAGCAGTTTGGGGAAAATCTTATCAATCTTTCATTGGTTTGCATTCTACACCCACACACAGAAAAGAAATATCGGCTAAACTTAAAAATAGGTGTTGTGCATATATTTCACCCATCTTATATGAGAAACATGCTCATACAAAAACATCACTGGCATTTTATGCAAGATAATTGTGAAATTTGAATTGATCACTCTGCAAATATCATTTTAAATATATCATAGCATGTGTCATATTCAAGAAAAATGGATGATCCACACAAAATGAGACCTTTTATGGGGTTAAGAAATATGTGTTAGAGTTGACAAGACTACCAATGTACATGTATTCATGTATTATCATTTTCATCATTATCCAATGTATGTTGGGCTTCTTATCCTGTTTGAATTTAGAAGGAGTTCTATTGTAGAAGCAGACATATATTTCAAATATTAAATTTTGTTTATTTTGTGGGTAAGATTATTCACTGAATTAAAATCTGGTGCAGTTGAATTCAGTTAAGATTAAGAATAACTGTGAATATCAACACCAAGGGATTTTCACTTTTTCATGTAAATCCACAAATTTTCAACCCAAGGACAATGTCTTCTTTTACAATATTACACTTTGTCACAAACACTTTGGTATCTCAAACATTGATATCAAATACAGTACTATGGATATGTTAAGGTAAGGTGGAAGTCCCAACTACATTTTCTTTTATGTACATGTATTTTAACCTCAATATCTCAAACTATTGGATATCTCAGAGTTTTTTTTCTCCTCAGCCCAATTGAGTTGGAGATAATGAGGTTTGACTGTAGGTACTTTAATACAGTATTTGTTTCCTTAAAACATTTGTTCTACTTTTTAGGACACAGTACTGGAGACCTGGGCTCTATAAATGTAAGCTGGCCTGTCAAATTCCACGAGGTCCATGGTGACAATGTGATCCTGTTAAATGACAATACACTAGCCAAGCGAGGAGACAGTTTCTGCAAAGCCATTTGTTTCAGTAGCCGTCCAATTGCCATTAATGAAAAAGTCTACATCCGCTTCGCGGAGACCTCCAGTAGCTGGAGTGGTGTTTTGCGATTTGGATTTACAAATATTGACCCCGCCACAGTGCGGGGATCTGACCTTCCTCGATATGCATGTCCCGATATGACCAACAAGCAGGGCTGCTGGGCCAAGGCTCTGGGGGAACGATATGCAGCCCATAATAACATTCTTCATTTCTATGTTACGCGTACAGGGGATGTGATGTATGGCATTAATGGGGAGGATATTGGACTGTTTTTCTCCGGTGTTTCCACTCTCTCCCCACTGTGGACTCTACTGGATATTTATGGCAATACCATTGGCATTGAATTTGTTACCCATGGTAAGAATTTTAGAAGTAGTTGGGTGTTGTAATTTCAGGTTATATTTAATACTTTACAGATACAAAATATCCCATTTCATATATCAGTGTATAGTGTACATAGTATCAATACTTATAAATTAATAAATTTTGCAAATAAACTCCGAAAGGGGTGCACTAGAGTTCTTACTAACTCCTCTATGAATACACTAGATGCAAGATGATGTCCGTAAACTATATTCAGATTTCACTCGCACAGTAAGTATCGTACATTAAATTATAAGTCTCCTTTCATTTTCTATAAACAGCCATGAAATAGCAAAAACGTGAGTACGGTGGGGTTTCCAGTTGGCGGATCTAAGTTACTGGCAATTTTTAATGAAACTGACAACTAGCAGTCGTTTATTTATTTTTAAAAAATGTCATCACTGAATTATTCAATCAAAATTGATTTAAATGATATAAAAGAAATAAGTTGTGATAACTGATTAAAAAAGGGAAATGTGCAAATTATTTTTGTCATTCACCGATCTTAATATTGATGGAAACTTCTAGAACATCATACAGCAACGAGCCCGATGTTAAAAAGAAAAGACCCATGGGCCACATCTCTCACATGAGCACTTTGCTAGGAAAATGCAGAAATCAGTTCAGTATTAAAAAGTTTAACTATTTAAAGTGGTTCGGAGGGGTGGGGGGTATGATTTGAACAAACATGGCTAATAATATCTTTGCTGTTCTTAAGAAAAATTTTTTATTGATTTATCCTTTATATTCCTTTGCATAATTATTATTCCCTGTTGTGGCCCCTCTTTACTCCTGGGGGTCATGATTTGGTAATTTGAATCTACATTACCTGCAGAAGATGCTTTTATTTTATTATGATAAATCACGGTTTTGCTGTTCTGAAAATGAGAATTTTTACGATTTCCATATGTATTCCTATGCAAAACTTTGATCATCCATTGTTGCCCACCCTACCCCCGGGGGTCATGATTTGAACAAACTTGAATCTACACTACCTGAGGATGCTTCCATATAAATATGACCAATCATGGCTTTCCTGTTCTTGAGAAGAAGATTTTTGAAGTTTTCCCTGTGTATTCCTATGTAAAACTTTGATCGCCCACTTTAGCCCCACCCTACCCCCGGGGATCATGATTTGAACAAACTTGCATCTACATTACCTGAGAATGCTTCCATATAAATATGATCAATCAAGGCTTTGCTGATCTTGAGAAGAAGATTTTTTAAGATGTTCCCTATGTATTCCTATGTAAAACTTTGATAGCCCACTGTGGCAATTTCACAATATAAATGTAAATTAATGAAATTGTTATTTTTTCAAGTTTTTACAAAGGGGGGGGGGGGGTACATCCAAAGCTAAATGCGGAATTATGAACAAAGTATTTCTTCCTTCTATAAGCCTGTAGGCTGTAGTAGAAACTAAAATATAAATTATTGAAATTTTTCTGTCGGTAGGGGTATAAATTCAATTCCCCGTGCTTGCGCGGGATTTCATCTAGTATACTGTATCATTGATTCTAAAATTGTCTTTTATGGTACCTTGCATTATGTACTGTAAGTCAAACAAGAGACTTCCTAGGATAAACAGTATGTGAAGTTAGCAGTATTCATTTATGTATCATGGACATATATAACAATACTCATATCTCCAAGAGAAGTACTTGCTGAATTTGTGACTGAATAATCATGTCAACAGTTTTAACAAAAATTAAGTTTTCTAATAAAAGAGTTTTGTTTTTTAAACACCTTAACAACATAAATTACATGTAAGTGTACACAGATAACATCATATATTGAGATTGGTCTTTCAGGTCACATGAGTGGGAATTAGACCTGCAGTATAGTACAGTGTATACTTTGAATAATTTACAACAGGTGCTTGATATGTATGCATTGTCAGGGAGAGGAAGTGCTGAATGAACTTAGTACACTTGTAATATATGTATGTCTAGGATTGCGACAAGTAATTTCACTCAAGGTTATCAGGTACAGGAATTATTTTAGAGGGGGGAGGGGGGGGGGCAGAATCCCAGTATACCAGTAGTGCATGTTGACTGAATTTGGTCAGTAATGTAGTTTACACATGTAAAAAGAACTCACTGCATGCACAGCACAGATTGTGAAGTAATTATGGTCATTCAAACCTGGTAACGGTTCAAGGGGGTGGAGAGGGGGGATGGGGTCCAAATCCCCCAGGATTTTCAGAGTTATGAAATAACCAAAAAATGACCTTGGATCCTTCATAGGAAACAAAAATCCAAGAATCCCATTTTATTTTGGAGTTGGAATCCCCCCCCTTCCTTTTTTTTCATGATTTCAAAGTGAATTCCATGAAAATGCTTCACTCTCTGCAAAATTCATTTAAGCCATAAAGTATGGGGAAAAAATATTAATTATGACATCATTATGGATCTAGCTCCAAATAGACAGTCTAAATTCATTTACAAGATTTTAAAAGGAAATAAGATTACTTGTACTTTCTGAACAAAGACCCTGTGAGGATATTCCCTCATTGCCTTATCAGAAGCTATGTCACTGTTCATAGTTCCTTTAAAGCTATTTTTAGATGTGTCAAAGTGATACTCTTTTTTTTTTTTTAAAAACTTAATTTTCAGTCAGAATGCTTGTTGACATAATAATTCATACAAATTCGGCAAGAATTTTCTTGGTGGCATGATCGAGTAGTGTTATTGTTATACATGTATATGATAAACACAGAGAATATTCCTAACATCATGCATATATATACCAGCTACTCTGCATCTTTAACATACAGTCAAACCTTGTTATCTCGAACTCGATGGGACCAAAAAAAAAATATTCGAGATTTCCGAGAATTCAAGATATTGAAGGTTAAATAATAAGTGGTTGGGACTCCCAAATTATGGTATTCAAGATCTCGGTGTTTCAGATATCGAAGTTCAACTGTATATCAGATACAGTGGATGGTTTTGCTATATCATAGCACTCCACAATGCAAGACAATTTCAGAATTCATGTCGCAAACACAGATACACTTGTAAACATTTATCAAAATACATAAATTACCTCTAAAATTATTATGAAAGTTGTACACTCACACAAGGGCATGAAAAGATTTATGCATTAGAGCATGAACTAGGTACACCCTAGCATTATCTTCTCTTTTGCACATATGATATAAACATTACCACTGTGTTTATAAGGTGCTCCACATTTCACAAGATTTCAGACTTTTCTGGAGATAAGCTCTAGAAACATCAGAAGGCATTTTGCCAATAATAAAAAAAAAAACTGAACTCTGGTACAGATGTAGTAATAGGCCTTAGGGGGGTTATAGGGGAAACATTTCTGATACATCTCTGGATTGAATGTTTTGAAATGTACGTCTTCATACAGTCATGCTGTCAATAATTTCATTTGTTCTAGGTTATAATTATGATAAAATGTTTATATTACATGATCTTAATTATCTTTATTAGGAAAAAAAACAACAGGTACAAGTATTACAGACATCATTTTAATTAAAAAAAAAGAAGATCTAATACATTATGGTGTGTATGTACATGTATGCTGTTCAGGTTGTTTTTCAACTGGAAAAAAAATTTATCCCAAATAAGCTAGCTTCCTTAATTTATATAAACAAGTCACCAAATTTCAGATTTTTTTGTTTACATGATAAGAGTACTCGGAAATAAAAAAAAAAATTGTGTCAGGTCTAAATATATCCTGCGTCACCAGACTATGTCAATCGAACAGTTAAAAGTCCAGGTAGATTTCCTGACATAAACAAACATATATAGCCATTAAATATCCGTTCAACAGTGTCTTTATTTATCTTTTCATAACCATATCGTCAGCTTTCGTAAGTTCACAACACCCTTTAGGCAAATTGGGCCAAGAAAAAAATGAAGTGTTGCGAAACTTAGAGTGAGGAGACAGTTTTCTGTTGTATGTAAGGACAGTTTTAGTAGAGGAGTTCCTGTCCCACTCAAGTCTGAGTTTTTATATCCTGAGTCGGGAAATATGGTGTGCATGCCAACTCTATCACTGAAATCACGTCTGACAAATTAACAGACCAAGACTTTCTATGGAGATCTATTGGGTTGTATTCAGATATGGGTAAAAATCAAAGTAGTAAGTATATATTCTATATCTAGTTCTGTTAGTTTATAGGGTTTTATTTAATAAGGGCACTAACATTTTAAAGTGGAAGTAAAACATAAAAAGCTTGGTATCTGTTTTAAGTCAAACAGGAAGAAAATGTAACAGAGATGGCCCAGAATTTGTTGTAATTGGCTTATGGCTGTGATAAATTGATCTTGTTTTGCGTCTCTTCTTCTTTTTTATAACTTTCAGTTTGTAAAGTTCATTTGTAGACAAAAAAATTCATGGTTACATTGATAAAACCATCTGTAGGCGTCAGCTGCAGTTTCTATTAGCAGTTTGTTAACTGGACTGTATGTCATTTCAGTAGTTATTTTGATATTTATTGATTTATTATGTATATTTTAAAAACTTGTACGGATCAATTCAACCTGGCTTGTGCACATTTATCACTAAAACAAAAAGAGTTATTATTAATGAATACAAAGTATTCATTATGATAAACCGGAAAAAATGTTATTGTCTCATTTAATTTTTTTTAAGTAGAAGAACCAAGAATTTAGAGTAAACCTTGATATAGAAAGTTCCATGGTATGTTATGAAAGCTAAAGGGCCCTTTTTTGTACTACTTTCCTGTATTTTCTGCTTGTCATTTTCAAATAAAATATGGTTTAAACTAAAGGGCCTCATTTTCAGCACTTATTTTGATGTCCTTTTGGTTTACTGACACTGACCTGGGATGTCTACCACTATGTCCATCTATCCTTGCTCTTTGTTTGTTCTTCTGTCCTCTTAAGTTATATGACCTGCTAGAATTTCAATTTCCTAAGAGAATTCAAACAAGATAACAATTTAATATGTGGTGGATCCATGGGGAGTGGGTTTATGAGTGTAATTTGCAGAAGGATTAGAGATTAAATGCATTATATGTTGCACTTTCTGTGGTAATTATCACCTGTCTTTAGTAAAGAGTGACTGATCAAGCCTTAGCATGCTCAGTACTTAGTCCAATATAAGCACAGTACGTAATCATCACTTGTCATCTATCCTCTTTATGCCAGCTCGCACATTAAGTCATGTAATATTAATATATATACAGTAATTGTAATATTTCAAAAGTTGTTATTTTCATTACAGAGAGATTGAACAATAGTCCTTTTGGATCTCTTGGGGCTTTACACAATGCACTCCCTCCACCCATACCTCAGAGGGAGACTGTATCCTCAGGGCCAAGAACTCACTTCTCCACGTCTAGTCTATCGAGTCTACACAGTGAGCCCATATCAGCTCCAGCAGCACCTTTAATTCCAGTACGCTATTACACAAACATTAACTTTAGACCTATGAGTTGGCATGAACTGACAGGCAAAAACATACGAGTGGTTGATGCCAATCGGACTATTGCTGTGAGGGCCGATGATGAATATTGTAATGCTTATGTGTTTTCATCCCGCCCCCTAAAATGTGGTGAAAAAATTGTGATACAGGTACTGGGAATAGAGAGGACGTTTATTGGTGGACTAGCGGTGGGATTTACAGCATGTGATCCTAGAGAAGTAAATCCACATGATCTTCCCGATGATTCTGACATGTTGTTGGATCGGAAAGAATACTGGGTGGTTAATAAGGATGTCTGCCGGACACCGGAAGTCGGGGACGAATTGTGCTTTCATTTAACTTTAAATGGTAGGTAAATGAACATTTTCAGTCCAGGAGTGCAACTATGTCTTTTATTTTTATTCCCATTCATGATTGGAACTGTTTTCAACATAAATACACAATCATTTCCATAGGATTCAATACATAACTGGGTCAGTATGTAGGACTCTGTGGTGTGCTGATAGGACCTCTCATTCTCTTTCACTGTAAAGGGAATTAAGTGATGGAGCAAGCTGCTTTATTAGTGCACCTTGAGTTTTACAATCAGTTTATAAAAGCTCATATTTTAAATCAGAATTGTACATGGCATGATGATGAGTCTATAATTTTTATTTTTTTTTATTTGAAGTCCTTTCACAGTTTTAATGGCACAAGCAGCAGCAAACTTCCTCCCGTAACTCTTTATGATGTTAAATCAATTATTTTGAACTTAAAACATCTCAATATCAATTTACCATGACTTATAACAATTCATAAAATCTTCAGATGCCTGCTGTATTCCATGAATTACATACATGTCACAAATAACTCCCATCATAAAAAACGGGTGAAGAATTTCTACACCTTTTTCAATTATGTTTCACTAAAACAAATTTGAAATGTTACAACTTTAAAGGAGCCATTAGACAGTTCATTATTTACCCATTTAACTTGAATAAGAATAACTGTGTGGTGTCTATTCATTTGAGAAGCGTAAAATTGCACTGTTTTAAGAGAGATGTTCTGGTAGAGTTCAGATTTGGCAAGCAGCAAGATGTTTAACTAAAATAAAAAAGGGAGTAATACAAGATCATCATTTTCACTGTATTTCATGTTGAAGATAGGCTGGTTGTATATAAATTCAGTATAGCTGGAAGAGAGCTAGCAATAAAACACTTGATTACACCTTATGAGTTCAACATGGTGAATTAACGACCCTCCACCTGGCCCACTCACTGACCTGACCTGATCTCTGCCTTGGTCAGGTCAAGTCACCTTATGGGCCAGGTCTCGGGTCCTTATTTAACCAAGTTGACTTCATAAGGGGTGTTAATTGTATAATATACAAATTTTTACCAAGAATAACAAGGGGGTTATTAATGTTTACCATGTTTACTATGGCATGTCAATCATTGCAACATTCTATCTTTTCCATTTGTATTGTATAAATTTCCATTTGTATTGTATAATTTTCCATTTGTATAATTTTCCAGATAGAAAAAATACAATACAAATGGAAAATATACGATACAAATAGAAAAATTGTACAATACAAATGGAAAAATATACAGTGCAAATGGAAAATTATACAGTGCAATTAGAAAATTATTTGCATTTGCGAATGGGAAATTATACAGTCAATACAAAATGGAAAAGAACGAATATTGCAATATTTGACATGCCATAGTTTACAACAGATAGGGTTTTATCTGTAGTATAATAAATGTGTGCAATTATTTAACAACTCAAAAGAATTATATTTTGAATAGACAGAAATAAGGAAGTGATTTTAATGCAATGTATTTATTATTTAATTTCTTGTTATGAAGTAAGTGTAGTTTATTTTGCAAATTAATAATGTACCGTCTAACAGGTATAATACTTGCATTTGGCTAATTTTGGTGAGGTTTTGCAATTTAAAAAAAATGCATAGAAAAGCTATGTAAAATAATTCAACCTAAGGTTTTATTTCTTACTGCTGATGGAGAGGAATGGCAAACATTCCAAACAGCAGAAATTGCTAGATATATACAGACTATTTACATTATAACTAATCAAAACCCCCCTTACAATGTGCAAGGATGGACAAAAATATCTGAGTGAACATCTTGCATCTATGACAGAGGTAGATAGAGACATTATCATTATTTCTGAAGTATTTTGGAATTTTGGTAAAATTTCATTACATGAGATTTCAAAGCACTCTGTTTTAACTGACTTAAATCTGGGAAAGGCTTACATTGTTTCTGCTGGGAGTTTTATTTGGACTTCTTTACCAACAGAAGAGAGAGTTGCTACCAGTTCTGCTTCAGATAATGTTAGTGACCTATATTTTACAGATGACTGACCAGGTTAATGATTTTAAAGGCAGGTTATTTCCCATAGATCTACCACAAATTCTGAAATGATCTCTTCCAGAGAATGCAACAATTCTGCCCTGTTTGTGAACTATATTTTAGTTTGAGAATGAAAGACCACTTTGTTCTTTTTTGCATAAATGATCCATGGTGGATGCATTCTTTAGATATGTATTCTTTGAATAGAGGGGCTGTATTGGCTATACCACTGATCCTGTTAAGTATATAGCTGTAACCTTAGTTGTTGCCTGTGATTCAATGCCATTTTATAAACATATACTGGTCAGTGTCTTGGTCAATGTCTTGTAAATATAATTCAGTATTTTGTATATTCCTCTAGCTTTGGAGAGCTATGGTAGGGTTAAATAAGGATATGATCATTTAAATAGATGAGTGTAACTGGAAATTAATTAACCATTGCATATCCAGAATGTTTATATTGATATAGACATTTTTTAATATGTTACAAGAGTATCTTTTACTTATATAATCAGAGTCATTTAATGTAAAAATATAGCTGTGATGCCTTGAACATTCTCTCTTGTCTAATGATTTGATAAATTTTTATCACTAACATGTCTTTTACCTAGAAATGGAAATTTGACACTCATGTAAAAAATTTATCACTAATGCACCTCTTACCTAGAAATGGAAACTTGACACTAATGAATTGTCTATGTTTAAATGTTATTTGGGAAAAATGTTTAACTTGATTATGTGCCTGGTACTTTTTTTGCTTGTTCATTTACATTCAAAATCTCAAGTATTTATAAACTAAATTTCAGGTGAAGTTCGTTACTCAAAGAACAACACAAAGGTCGCTACCCTGATGCATGTAGACAAGACTCTTCCCCTCTGGTTGTTTTTCGATGTTTATGGAAACATTCAAAAGATCCGGAGCATTGGTAAAAAAAAATTGTTTGGTTATGCAGTTGACATTCTTTGTTCAGTCATGCAGTAGAATTTTATTATTAAAACTTTAAAAACTATATGAATACTTTTGAATATTTAGAATTTAAAGTGTTGAGGTTCTTGATCATTTTATTGCCTTCAAGTATTGAATCTGAAATTTCAAGGACTAAAGTTTGTTTTAAAAAGCAAGAGAAATAAATAATGCTTGGCACAGTAGCAGAAGGAAGAACTTTATTTACCAGGTTCTAATATTTAGTATCTTTAAATATACTTGTACAAGGGAAAATACTGCTCAACAGTTACATTTTCATAATGTGTGTTGGATTGCATTCTACATGTCTTTTTCTCTTGTAGGGGTGACAACACATGTACCCCCAATCCCGCCTCGACCGAGGTCCACTCCATTTATGACCCAGACCAGCATGCCACAACTGACGGTGACTCTCCCTCCCCGAGATCCCAACACCACACAGGTACCAGTCAGTACCACCACCCCAGCATCTTCTGGATCCATCCCTCATCATTCAGGTCCACCTAGTCACAGTATGATGAGAAGCTACAGTGTTCCAAGTGGTGTCACATCTGAACCAATGTCACCACAACAAAAAATAGGTCACATCAAGTCACTTCCCACCTCACCAGAGACAACTATGGACTCTTGTGCTGAAACAGAGGCTAGCGAGTGTACTGTTTGCTATGAGCGGGCTGTTAATGCAGTGCTGTATACTTGTGGACACATGTGCATGTGCTTCGAGTGTGCAATAGTTGTGAAAAACCATAAAAGTGCACTGTGTCCTATATGTAGACAAGAAATTAAAGATGTTATTAGAATTTACAAAACATGAGACTTGTCACGCATCACATAGATTTTTACGGTATTGCTGAATATATGCTGTATTTTTAGAAGTTAAAATATAAAAGATTATATATTTTGTCTCAATGGAGAAATATGCATATTAATTACAGTTCATCAGCTGTTTCTCTTTGACAGTGGTGCTTCTTGCAGAGCAAGATTATGCCCTCTCAGGCCAATACTTGACCAGGATTTGGTACAAAGCATTCTAGTGCTAACTACATACATTTGATTACTTCTGTTATGTTTTAGGGTGTTTTAATTAACTGTGCAATAACCAGGGTGAATTTGATTGGTTAAGGTTCAGTGTTGTGCTATATTTTATATGGCCTCGGCTCTGTTAATATTTGAGGTTTGAGAATTATACTACTTGTGTTTAATTTGACTTGATGAGATGCAGCCATTTTTCATTGTTGATTTGTAACAGTTTTCACAGTTATAAGCATATCTATCATGTAGAAGAATGTCTGAAAAATTGTTACAAGTTTTTATGTTTAGCATTAGATTGAATTTTATTTCTTCGATTTTCACTTTGTAGTACCCAAAACTATTACCCGGTACATATGGCACATAGATAGAACTGATAATTACCTCAAGCAACATCATACAAAATGTGACTGGTAGTATACATGTTCTTGTAAAATGAGTAAAATCATTCATACATTATTTATTTCAAAGAATAAAGCTTATTGTGATATTGTTCTATTCTGGAATTTGATTGTTTTAGTTCAAGGGTTTTGATAACATAGAGTGACAGTCTGGAAGGAAAATCATGCACTTGTGTATTCATTTATTTTTCTCGAACACAGTACATCTTTACTCTGAAGCTAATTCTTTATTCCCAATTTTACTCAAGCTTTTGTTAAACTGTACATTATGATTTCACAATCATTGAAGCCACCGACTGTAGTTCAGTCACACGTGAAAGTCATTTCTGATCATATTTTCCCATTACTGCGAAGAATATGATAGAAAGCTGCTCAAACTGTTGATTTTTTATTGTTAAATGAACTAGTAGTGCTAAAATAATCTAAGATGGGATGAACCTCTGCTAACTCAACCAGAATTTTTATGTAATTTCACAATTTTTAACACAAGATGGAGATTAAAATGAAATTGAAGCAAATCTGATAGAATTTTGACGTAGAGTAAAACTTACAAAGGAAATGTTTTTGAGTTATCTCTCTTTGTAAAGATTATCCTCTCTTAAGGTCATGAAAAGTACATGCGCAGCATTGCTATGTCCTAAACTTAGTGTTTATTAAAGTAAAATTAATGTGTTCTCAGGTAGCGATGAGTGTAACAAAAATTGATTGAACAACTTGAATGAATCTTCTTTAATCAATGTGCATTGCAGAATCTTTTCAACAAATTTAACATTTTGAAAAAGGCAACCTCGCTTGTTTCATTTAATTTTTTTTTTTATTTGAGGTTGTCTCCCTTTGACTGTGATATGATTTAGTGAGAAAGCAATTTTCTGATGTACAATCTCACACAGTATAGATCTAATTTCAGTCCACTCTGTTACTTGTTTTTTAATACTGTCACTAAATCATGGTATCTGGAAGCTAGATTTTGCACCCATTCCCATGTTTTTTAACTGTTGCAATATTTTATTAATTCATCCTGTACTTTCTTGATGATAAACTTTTGATATCACGAGACTGATACAACAGTGCTGATTTTATTGTACATTTATTCATTTTATCATAATCTTTCAGATAATTTTTTAAAATTCTTTTTTGTATTATTATTATTTTTTGTTTTTGGAAAAAAGATAGAAAAATGCATTATACATGTATTTTATAAATATTTTTGTTTTATAGAGTCAGGCTGTCCAGTAGCCCTAAAATTCTGAAATTAAAAAAAAAAAGGAAACCTAGTATTTTTTAGTTTTGCTCAAATTTCTTTAAAAAAATGTTGAAATCAAGGGGAAATCCTTAAAAGGCTCTAATTTTTCCTGTCACCTCTTTTTTAAAAAAGTATATTTCTATGCTTGCAATTTTGAAAACACATTTATTCATAATGTGTCCTAATGTAGTTTGCAGTTCTTTTTCAGATTATTCAGTAAAAGACATTTGACTAATGTCAAGACACCCTTCCTGTACTTTAAAAAAATTGTGAGTTTACTTATGGTCAAATTTGTGAAGGTAAATGCATTTCAATGTTTAAAACCGCACTTAAATTCCTAATGTTAGCCCTAAATTAACCCTAAAATTTCTATTAAAAAAAAAAAAAATGGAAATTCGCCCAAATTTTTTGTCAAAGAGTGCTGGACAGCCTGTAGTGATTTATAAAAGTTAAAACAACTTCCAGTCCATTATTTCATATTTTAGAACTGCTTTCTTTTCATTGATTCATTATGTATGGGATTGTGTTCAGGTTAGTTGTAAGTGTACAGTGATTACACAAACCATAGCATTTTACGTATTGATTTAAATATTGAATGTTTGAAGCATTGTTTTAATTCACTTGATTTCCATTTGTGTTGCCATAGAAACATGTAAATATATTTTATAGAGTGCTGTTACCCATTTGTCAGTAAATCTAAGGTAGTGGTTTTTCACCTGACTCAATGTACCAAAATAAACATGGTTACTCCTTAGAACTTTTTGTAATCTTATCAATCACTGACACAGATGATAACATCTAGCTGTCATTCAATCCAAAACAAATTAGAAATGTGTTATTTGTCTGTCTGTTGGTGCAAATTTTGCATTAACCTTAATTTTATAATAGAAAAAACTTTTGAGGCTTATTCTTAATGTTTTCGTGACAAATAGTTTAATCATGACTGACCAATTGATTTGACAAAATCAGTGTACATGTACTTAACTAGACAAGAGGCCCAAGTTCCTTAACAGTTACCTGATTTTGATACAACACTGTAAAGAATCCAGTTAAAAGAATATTAATAAATAAACTGATAGATGAAGCAATGCTGCTCAAGGGAAAGAAGATGATCAGGGAAAAAATGCTCAGTTTAATACTCAGTAACAAATCTTAAAGTAGATCTTTCTACTTGCCTGTACTTACACCCATTTGTTACTATCATCATGTGAACTAAACTGTTATTGAAACCATCTCATTCCCTCTCACAATGGCTTCTCTTGGTCTTTGAAGAGCATTTAATACATCCTAACATCAGAGCCAATGACCCAGGGGCTGAGAAACTTATAAATTTTGGAAGAAGCACCCTTGCATATGAAAACTATGCATTTAATATGTTTCCTAGCCCCAATTCCATAAACTGAGAATAGACTTAAGTCAAAATTTTGATTTTTAATATCTTAAGTTTTATTTAATGTATTTGCTTAAAATTTTGCAATTTTATATAACATTTAATTCAAATATATGATGAAAATTTTGGTTCAATATCAAAAATTATTTCAAAAGTTATATTGGTTTGAAATTTTGACTTAAGTCTGTTCTCAGTTTATGGTCTTGGGGCCTAAATACTCAGAGGTAGGAAGATTTTCAAAAAAATAATGATTTTCACTATAGTCCATATACTCAACAGAGTCCAGCCTTAACACCAAAACCCCCAACCCAGGGGCTCTGAATTTCATAATTTTGGAAGAGTCATCTTTGCTCATCATAACCCCGAAATTAGTTTGTCTGCTAAATACCAAAGAGCAGAGAAGAAGAATTTATGCATATCACCATCTGTTCTATAGAGCCCCACCCTAATAATACAACCATTTACCCAGGGGCCATGAATTTTTATAATTTTGGAGGCACACTTGCTCATCATAATCATGCATTTAATTTATCTACTAAATACCCCAAAAAGCAGAGGAGAAGATTTAAAAGAATAAATGCATTTTTAGCTCTTCTGACCCAAAGGCTCAAAGAGCTAATGCTATGGCCATTTGTGCGGTCTGCGTAAACCTTTCAGAATATGGACCATAACTCAAGAACCCCTTGGCCAATTATTGTCAAATTTGTCACAGGGTATCCTTGGCCCAAGGGCTCCCTTTTATACTAAAACTAGGGTTGTGACCCTTAAACAAGGGGAGATAATTAGGAAAATGGAAACAAAAGTACTGGTTGCCGTGACCTACTTTTCAATTCATATGACTATAATTTCACAATTTTTGAAGAGGTGTTCATTATTAATATCCACTTGGTTTATCTACTAAATACCCAAGAAGGATGAAGATTTTCAATGAATTAATGCAATTTCACTATATAATCATCAGATGCCCGCCCTCATACCAGAACTCCCTACCCAGGGACCGTGAAATTCATAATTTTGGAAGAGACACCCTTGCTCATCATAAATATGTACTTTGTTTACTTAATGCCAGGAGCAGAGAAGATTTTCAAAGAAATAATGCATTTTTACTATATTATAAATAGATTCCGCCCTAACACCAGAATCTCTGACCATGAGGTCATAATATTTACAATTTTGGAAGAGGCACCCTTGCTCATTAGTATTTCCCCCCAAAAAAAAACCAGGAGAAGAGAAGATTTTCAAAGAAATAATACAATTTTACCATATAATAGAGCCCCCCCCCCCCCCCGCACACACACAATAACTAGAGACCCTGACCCTAGGGTCACAAAATTTTCATAACTTTGGAAAATGCACCATTGCCCATCATAACCATGCACCTAGTTTATCTGCGAAACATGCAGGGGTAGAGAAGATTTTTGAAGAATATATGCATTTTCACTATATGATCATCAGAGCCCCGTCCTAACTCCAGAAACCCTGAACTTGGTGCCATGAATTTCACAATTTTGGTAGAGGGCTCAATGCTCTTTACAACCATGGCAACAGTTCAACTGCTTGATGTCCAGGAGTGAAGAAGATTTTTTGAAGATTGTGTTAATTTTGATATTTTTAGCCAACCCCTCAAGCCCCAGAGGGACAGGGACCATGAAATTCACAAATTTTGTTCCATATCACTCATAAATACTATATGCCAAAATTGGTTGAAATTCAGTGATTTCAGAGAAAAGCTGAAAATGTTTAAATGAAAATGTTAAAATGTTTATGCACGACGGACGACGCACACCCGCACGACGACTAACAAAAACAGATAGCGATAGGTCACCTGAGTGACCCAGGTGACTTAAAAAGTGTGTTTATGTCCACTGAAATGAACATTTTGTAATGGGACAATCTCAGATGTAAACGTGAAAGAATGTTATGTCCCATTGTTCAATGCCAACTAGACAAGGTCAGAAAAGTGACATCGTAATATTTGGTCATTTTGCTACTTGAAGCAGATGAAATTCACCGAACTGAAACAGGGGATGATGTATATATCTATTGATCTTTTAAAATACTTTATTATGATTGCATTATGAAATATGAACATATTATTTGGTCATTTTCTCCAATTCGCAACCATCAATTTTGAAATCGAGATTATGATATTGTGACGTCAAAATTAAAGTCCATCAAAAATCAGGAGTAATGATGATATCACAATTACTTGTTTATGTTTTTTAGCTCACCCAATCCAAAGGCTCAAGTAAGCTTTTTTGGTCGAAGTTTGTCATCCATCCAACCATCTGCTTAACTTTCACATTTTCGACTTCCTTTTCAGAACTACTTGGCAAATTTCAACCAAACTTATTACAAAGTATTTGTAGATGAAAGGAATTCATTTTTTCCAAATGAATGGCCATGCCCTATTGCAAGGGAGCTAGCATAATCAAGAAAAGGTAAAAACATAAAAATATTTTCTTCTCAAGAACCACTTAGACGAAAAGATGAAAACAAAATATGGCAAGTCCCCTTGGTTTTAGGTGTCTCTTAGAACAACGCAGTATTTTTCTTCATAAACATTTTATCATCCCTGTTACAAAATGAGCATTGAATCTAATTGATAGAATATACAGAGAGCACAGGAAGGTCACAGAATGTGGGAATTTCCGAATTTCCTCGTTTTTATTCAAATTTTCAACAATTTCAAAGCATATTTTGTTTTAGAAAACACAGAGCACAAGCTTGTCTATCTACCAAATTTATATACGTGTATTTCATGCACTAGCATCAGATCCATCTTGTGTAAGAAAATCTCAGATAGGCAAACTTGTGATCTATGTTTCCTGAAGTGAAAAGTATCTCAAATTTGACAAAATTGCATCAAAATTGAGGAAATTTGGCAAAATTTCCTATTTTGTTAACCTTTTATGGCTCTGTGTATGTTAAGACTCAAAATTAGTGCCTTTTTAAAGCAAGCTTAAAGTTTTTAATTGCAAATTATCACAATTTTAAATTGTTTTGATTTTTACATCAAAGGGGCCAAAATCGGCCGTTACCATACCCTTGTCCCTCGTATGAAAGATTACACATAGTCTAGATTTTAGATAATTCAAATCATAGCCCCCTGAAAATGGGTGGGGCCACAACAGGGATCAAATTTTAACGTGAATATAATGAAAAAAAAAATGTTTAAAAATCACCCCTTTCATAACCAGCGAAGATGAAGCTTATCTGAGAACTTCCTAACATAGTGTAAATCAAAATTGTTCAGGACAATGATAATTATATATTTAGATCCACTGAAAATTTTTCTCCTTTATTTCTTACAAAAACCACTTCCCCTAATGAATCTACACTGTATTGACTCTAAACTAGTTAAAATTCTCAAATATAAAACATATTTTGTACGAAAGCTCATTTTTGACTAGATAAAAAAATATTTAACTCGTTAAACGAGATACCAACGAGATACTAAGTCGATATAATGTAATACTAACTCATTATTACGAGATAATTATCTCGTTATAACTAGATAACTAACTCGTTATAACTAGATATTTAACTCGTAATAAAGAGTTTTTTTCTTTTCACAAATGAGGCTTATTTTGATATAGGAATATATACAAAATATATTTAAAACATTTGTCTCAAGAACAGCAGGAACATGATAAATCTTATCAATGCACTATGCAAGCTTCCCACGGTAGGGCAGATTAATGCTTGTTCAAATCATGGCACCTGGGTTAGAATCTGGGCTCAATAGGGGGCCTAATGTTTTACATGGGAGCACAGAAAATTTATTTTAAAAAATATTTTCAAGAAAAACAGTACCTCACTAAATCGTATTAATATGCAAACATTCCCAAATGTTTGATTCAAGTTTGTTCAAATTAATGATCCCGTGGTTAGGGATGGGCTTTAACCGGGAATCAAATGAATGAAATATGGAGATAACGAACAGTATTCAAGCTCAAAGTCCATTAAACAATACAAATCGGGAGCAGAACAAACACGGACCTCCATAAACATCGGGAGGTGGGATCAGGTGCCATGGAGGAGTGAGCATCCCCTGCCGACCGGTCACACCCGTCGTGTGCCCCTTGTCATGATCGGGAAATAACGGAAAAATCCGTCGACAATTCAGTGTGTAAATAATGGCCTAACAATTACTATGAAAAAAAAAACGTCAATCGGCATATAACAATGTTAGATTGTATTTGCTGACAAGGTATTGTATCGACCATAGAACCTACGAAATGATGACTTTAAACGAGACTGTTGATATTCTTATTCATCAACTTGTTTGTCAATAAATTACCTCGTTTCAGAAATTGTTCATACATAGAGCAGAATCTTGCGTATCGAATCAACTGAGAGATATA